ACGTTCGGACACTTCACTTCGTGGCCTGCGGACGACCGTGGCTACTACACTGGCGTGGAGTACACACCCACAGAAGTTGTTAGCACGAGAAGTTGTTAAAAGTCGTGCAGGTGTTTTTCGAGGACCTACGGTGCGATTCGTGTGATTTTATGATGCGCGGTGCTAAAATTCTTAAGAAGCCCAATGGTTTTTGGAGATTTCGGCGTGCGCGCGCGAAGAAAAAACGAATGTGTCCCGCATGGTATTATTTGACAGGGATGATGGCCCTGGCAGGTGCGCAACCGTTGTCGCAGAAGTTCGAAAAAGTTGCTCGCAAAAGCCCGTTTGACAGAAATGTTTAAAAAGTGTTGGGTTTCCTACGAATCCGCAAGAGCGCGCGGGATGAGATTTTGACAATTTTTTTTGAAAAACCATTGGTTTTTTGATGTTTTTATGTTAAAATCGCTCGAACACTAAGGTTTTGGAAGGATTTCGTCTTGCGCGCGCGAATGTCCACTTTACCTTATTTTTTGCAAGGGATTCTTGAAATTTGATTATATTAGAACAAGAAATGTCATTTTATAGTGTTTTTTGCAAGGGAAAGCGGGGGGGAACAAAACAACCGGATCTTGATCACATCGAATTACCTGAGGCTTCCTCACGAAAATGATGAAAATGTAGCTGCGGCCTAGGCGGCGCAGGGGGGCCTTGCACCAGGGGCCCCAACAATAATTATTCTTTAGAATTAATAATGTTCAACAACAACAACAACAATCACAATAACACCAACAATAACACCAACAATAACAACAAACGCAGCAGCAACAACAACAACTATCATTATAAGACTGTTCGCTCTTACTTGCCCGCGTGTCATTCAAAACGAGTTCCCAACAACCTCGATACCCGCCCTTTTTTGCCTTCGATCACACCCCCGTTGGGAGATTATTTCTCTTTGCGGGGGCGGCGGGCTTAGACAGGCGGGCAAACCTGAACGGGCGGACAATCTTTCGTGGGCGTACATGTCCCCGCCTTCTTTGAATTGGTGTGGGCCATGCAAAAAGAGGAAAGGGAAAATGAGGGTTAGTGGGAAGAAGGGAGGGGGAGGGACGAAGGAAGAGGTAAAACGCCAGGAGAAAAAGGAGCGAAAAGGGGAGCGGTCGATTAGAGGCAAAGAAAGAGAGAGAGAGAGAGAGAGAGAAAAAAAAAAAAAAAAGGAGGGAGAGGGGAGAGAGAGAGAGGAAAAAAAAAGAGGGAAAGAGGAGGCAGGAGAGGGGACGGAGAAGGGAGGAGGGAGAGGAGGGAGAGGAGGGAGGGGATAGGGTAAAGAGGCATAAAGATGAGGGAAGAGAGGAAAGAGCGAGAAGGGAGGAGAGGAGGGAGGAGGGAGGAGGGAAAGGGAGGAGGAGCAGGAAGGTAAGAGCGTGAACGTTCGAGAAAGTTTTATGCGATAGCGCCGTTCCTGAAGGAAGTGTCGGGCGGGAGCCCACGATGGGCGGGCGATCCCCTGACGGGCGGGTCGGGCGGGTTGGACATTCAAGCGGGATGCCTGAATATGGCGAAAGCGCGATGACTAGGTAAATTGTAACTGCGTCTTTGGCGCAGCGTGTTTCCTGAGCGTCGAAAGCGCGATTTTTGAATAAATCGCATGGAAATCAGAAGCGGAAAAAAACAATTCCCGAAGAAAATGTGAAGGGCTCTCTGGCGGGAGCGGGGGTCTTGATTAAATTGCGAAGAAATCTTGATTCAATTGCGAGGAAGTCTCAAGCGGAAGCGCCGTTCCTGAGTAAATTGCAAAGAAATCTCAGATGGGAGCGGGGGTCCGGACTAAATTGCGAGGAGGTCACGCGCGGGAGCACCGATCCTGAGTAAATCGTAAGGAATATCAGGAGCGGGGGTCCTGAGTAAATTTGGAGGAACTCTCAGGCGAGAGCCATTGTTATTGTAATCCGGGAGGCCGGAGGCCCAGTTTGAGCAACAAGACCTTCCGTGACAAAAAACAAAGTGCGAGCGTCGAGAAGCACATTTGGCCAAACAAAAACAACATGCACCGGCGAGGGGGGGGTCAACAATAATTATCCTTCAAATGTGAGAATTCAACAACAACAACAACAACAACAACAACAACAACAACAACAACAACAACAACAACAACAACAACAACAACGTTCTGGCTCGATACTTCCTCCTTTCTCACTCGGGGCCGGGACCCTGGTCGCCCCCCAAAGCGGCCTTTTCCAACAAAATCGGCGCTCCCGCTTGACACTTCCCTCGGGAATCTCCTGACCAGGGTCTATCCAGACCCGGGCCACTCGGGCCTTGCAGGATCCTGCAGGCTCCTGCACCCAAAACCTGGATCAATCTGACCCTGGCACTGCAGGATCCTTAAGATCATGCAGGATACTGCACCCAAGCCAAAGCCAATTCGACCCTGGTGCTGTCCTGCAAAATCGGGCGCTCTGGCTGACCCCCGTTTGCATTGACCTCCGTCTCAAGGCTCCCTATTCCGTGCTTTTCACCTCAGGACCGGCGCTCCCGCCTCAGCCCCTACGAACAACGACGCTCCCGCTCGATACTGCCTCCGCTTGATGCAAGACTTTCAGGAGGCCCTGAAGCTTCCCTAGTCTTTGCTGAACTCTAATTACTACACAAATAGCATTGTTGGACACCCTGAATGCGTTTTCGCGCTCGCGCCTGCTCCGCGCGACCTCGACCTCGCTCGCGTTCTGGGGCGTGGCGTCGTCGCCGCTGTCGTCGCCGCCGCCGCCGCCCTCGTCGTCGTCGTCTTTTTGTTTCTCTCTCTCTCTCTCTCTCTCTTTTTTTGTTTCTCTCTCTCTCTCTCTCTCTCTTTCTCTCTCTGTCAGTCCCTCTCTCTTTCCAGCCGTCCTGTCTCCTTCACTTCTCCGATATATCATTATATTTCCCCCGTTCGTCTCTCCGCTAGGTTTATATCATTCTAGCGTTTTTCTATATGTCTCACCAGATGTCCCTATCTTTCTTTCGTTTTCCGTCTATGTGTCCAACTGTCGCGCCGGCTAGCACACCAGTTGCCAGAGCCTTCCATACATTTCCGTAGGTATCCTTCATGCCCTCCCTTTCCCTCCTTCGTTCCCTCTTCCACGCCAGCTTTCTCGCCAGCTTTCACGCCAGCTTCCTGTTTTGTTTCCGGCGACTCGTCAGCGTTCCTGTTCTGTTCCCCTCGATCCTGGCGGAACCTGGCGCGGAATCCCGAACGGGCACCCTCGCCTCAGACATCCTCGGCACGTCGACACCCCCTGGCCGTTTCTGGGCCCCACGACGACGACGACGACAACAACGACGACAACGACGACGACCACGACAACGACGACGACGACGACGACGACGACGCGCCCCGTCGCAATCAGAATGCGGCCGACGCAAAACCAATCCCCAGGAAGGGGTCGAAAGCTTGGAACCCAAATGAAGCTTCTTTCAGAGGCTCTGGGGACTCTCCACGGGGCTCTCCCAAAGGTTGCGAGGCCTCTCCCAAGAAGGTTTTAGGCCACTCAAGTGTCGTGATACCTAGAAGCAAGACCTGGGCAGGGAATCGCGAAAGCAATGTGCCATCCGGGCTGGAGATGTCGAAGTGCATGGGAAGAGGTGTTGTCAAGACCTCCGTGGGCGGGGGATCAGGGAGAGGGAATATCGGACCCCCGTGTGCAAGAGAAATCCCCCAAGAGGGGGGCCATATACAAGCATAGAACATGCGGGTAAAATGCTTATTGGTGTTGTTGTTGCCGGTGTTGTTGCTGTTGTTGTCGCTGTTGCTGTCAAAGCCTCACTTACGAAGAACAATTGTTGTTGATCACCCCCTCCAGTAACCATTGTATGTTTCCTATTGAAGTGCCTCCCCCAGGGCTCGCACCCTGTTTTCTATCAAAGAACAGATTGACCATCAAACTGGGCGACAGGCCCCCGAGTTACAACAACAACGGCTCCCGCCGGATACTTCCTCACAGTGTATTCCCATATTCCCAAATCGCGTTTTCGCGCGGGGCTTCCTCACAATTTGTGCAGAAATCGCGCTCTCGCGTGGGAGTTCCTCGCAATGTATTCAAGCGTCGCGCCTCCAGCCCGTAGGAATCACGCTGTCGCTCTGGCCATTCTCACGATTTACTTGGGAATCGTGCTATCGCTCGAGACTTCCTCGCGATTCATGCCCACGCTTCGGCAACCCGCCTGCTCGACCTGGCCGCCTGGGCCCGCCTTCCCGACCCGAGCGTTGGTGTCTAACCGCCTGATCTGCCTGTCTGGTTCTGCCACATGCTTTCTGCTCCTAGCCCCCCTCCTGCTACTCTCTCTCTCTCTCGTGATCCATCCTCCTCCCTCCCTCTTCCATCCGTCCTCTTTTCTCCTGTTTTAAGGTCTGCGCCAACTACACGCGACAGGCAGGGAAGATATACCCCCAGGGGGGGTACGATCGAAGACGAATAGGGCGGGTACCGAGGGTTTGGGACATACGTGTTAAATGGCATGCGAGCAGGTGCAGTCTTAAAATGATTGTTGTTGGTGTTGTTGTTGTTGGTTGTGGTGTTGTTGTCGTCGTCGTCGTCGTTGGTGGTGGTTGTTGAAAGTGTTTGTTGTCGTTGTCCGCCCCGCGAACCGGCCCGCGACTCACCCGCGACGCACCCGCGACCCACCTGCGACAAGCCCGCGACCCACCCGCGGCCCACCCCGCGACCCACCCGCGACTCACCCGCGACCCACTCGCGACCCACCCGCGACCCACACGCGACCCACCCGCGACCCGCCCGCGACCGGGCCCGAGGCCCACCAGCGACCCACCCGCGACCCACCTGCGACCCACCCCGCGACCCGCCCACATTGCTTTCATCGAAAAATCGGCGCCTGCGGCCAGCTCACTGCATAGTTTGCAAAGGCTGGGCGCCTGCGGCGGGCTTCTTCAGAGCATCGCAGACTGCCAACGTCCATGCCGCCCCCTCACTCTTATCCGCAACTGCGGGGTGCTACGTATATCAAGTGGTGGTAGCGGCAGCAGCCTGATGGATAGTCCGCGCTGTCCTCGTTGCGCGCATTCATCTCGCAGTCGCCGTACTCGTACCCGTCCCCGTAGTCGTCACCGGGCATCTGGCGCCTGCTCTTGCGCGACTTCGACTTGAGCTGGATGAAGTCGTCATCTGCGGCCGGCGTGTTCTCGCTGTTGAAGTGGTCCTGGCTCGCAAGCTCCCTGGACCTCCTCACCTCTGCAGCTGCATCGCTGTCGTCGCCAGTGGACACAGGCCCATCCCGGGCGTCGTCGTTGGCCAAGAACTGGTGCACAGAGTAGTCCGCGCTGTCCTCGTTGCGCGCGTTCATCTCGCGGTCGCCATACTCGTACCCGTCTCCGTAGTCGTCACCTGGCATCTGGCGCCTGCTCTTGTGCGCCTTGTGGCCGAGCTGAGCGAAGGATTCCTGGCCAGCCCGCGTCTTGGACCTGCTCGCCTCGGACGCAGCGAGGGCAAGATCGGCGGCGCTGTCGCCGCGCGCGTCGTCAGCGGTCAAGAACACGGTTGGCTTGGATAGCTTGCTCGCGCCGTCCCCGTAAACGTACCCGTCCAGGTTGTACCACAGGGACTCCGAGCTGCTGCCTGCGCTGCGCAGCCGGGTCCCCGCCGACTCGAGGGCCAGGGACGCGAGCAGCAAGAGGCGCGGCGTCGCCGAGCACCAGGACGCCATCTCGCGCCAGGTGCACGCGCGCGCACCACACTCAGCTTCCTGCTGTGCCTTCTGTGGGGGGGGGGGCTTCGTTGGAAAAGAGTGCTGAGGCCGCCTGCAGCACCTCGGAGCCAACCGGCGGACGGCGGAGCTACCCTCGTCTTGCGTCCAAAAGCCTCCGCGGATCCTCCGCGGGCCCAGCCGAGGGAGAGAGGTCAAGCGTTCGCTCCCTCGTGGAGGAAGGCCCGTTCTGGTACCGCTCATGTGAGCCTCTCGGTCCACTCTGTCCAGATCCGCGTCGGGCCGCTCCTCAGCACGTACGGCGCGCACCCGCCCAAGGAATTGTCGAAGGATGACAGCACAGATGCCTCGGCCAAGTGCAAGCACATGCGCGGTGCCATGTAACACATCGATGCCTGCGTGCAGAAATGCCAGACTACAGGCTCCAGTAGCGACGTCGTGCGAGCTGCGGCCCTCAAGCAGCTCCGTAGGCACCCCAGAACCTGCAGTGAGCAATCCTCCGTGCACACCCGGAGCGATCGAAGGCTAACACCCTAGATGCTTGAACTATGGCCATCGCGGGCGACTCGAGCGCACCTAGGCTCTGGCAGGCCCCAGCCACCGACAGAATCTCAGCTGCACTAAAATGTACGCACCAACACATGGACGACGAATAGAAACGGGTCTTGCGGGGTTGGCATGGCCACCTCACACGGTGGCGTACGCAGGCCGTCCGCGAGGCACGCCGCGTGGAAAAGAAGGCGCTTTACGCGCGGCCATGCACGGGCAGCTTACGCGCCGATGTCGGTGAAGACGACACCGTTGTACTGTGCGTCGCTCAAGTGCTTGCGCATGATTTGGCAAAGTAAGGACGAAAACAGGCCGAACCGAGATGTCATACTGATGTGTAACACTGGCAAGGGTGCACCCATGGAAGCTGAATACGAAGCAGTGCCAACCAGTGCAACTCAGCGAATGGAATCACTGCGTTGACAACGCAGTACAGAAGCCAAGACAACACATACAAAGCGATGTGAAGCAATGAAACGCCCCCCCCCCCCTCCCTCCTGCCCCGTCTCTGCCCTCCCGCCGTCCTGGGCGAAGTCGGCGCTCTCGCTCAGGAAGCCGTACCCTGGGTGCACCGCTCCAGCGCCGCTCCTCTTGGCGGCCTCCACAATGCTGGCCTTGGGGAGGATGAGGAGGCGAGCGTAGAGAGAGAGAGAGAGAGCCCGCGTCCCAACCACGCAGGGGGCGCGCCTGCCGATGGGGACGCCGAACTCCAAGTCGGGAAGAACAAGTTGGACGCCAAGGACAAGCCAGGACTATGTTGACTACCTACCAGACCACCCCAACCCAACCCGAAGACCCGAATTTGACCCGAATTTCGGGTTGGGGGGGGTACGGATACCATGTGTTTTTTCAACGTTCCCCGACCCCCCCCCACTGGAAATCGAGGATAAATTTGGGCCTTCGGGTTGGGTTGGGGTGGTTTGGTGGGTGGTGATATGTGCCCTCCTCGGAGGTGTGCGTCCGACCCGAACATGTAGCACACAGACCCTGCAGCATATGGCTTCCCGAGCGGTGAGGCCAGAAAGCGACCGCCACAGCGCATTTCCTGTACAGCGGAGGCCAGTCCACAAGAAACCCTCCACAAAGAACCCAACCCTGAGACTCCCGGACTTCCATGGACTTCTGGTGTGGGAACGCCTCGCCTCCCACAGCAAGACCATCGACACCAAGGAAGCCCAGGGCACCCTGGAGGCATGCGGGGTGCTTCTTGGCATGGGCCTCCACTGGACGGTTTCTCGGTGCGCGCGTCGCCCCTGGGGGGGATGGACAGACCCCCCTTCAGCAAAGCGTGGTTTAGTGAAAACGACCTGGGGCCCAAACCTGGCGGGCGCAAGCCTGGAAAATAGCGGCCACGGCACCCTCTCGAGTAGCGAAAACGAACAATTCACTAATCGACGTGTCACTGTTGGGGTTCTGTCCGCCCCCGAAGGAGACGAGGAGCGGCAGCGGCAGACGGGGGCGGCGAGCCAGCGAGAGCGAGGCGCCGCTCCGTGCACACCGCGGGCGAGGCGCCGGCCCGCGCCCGTGCCCGCCGGGCGGCGGGGCCCGCGAGGCCGCACGCAGCCTCCCTCCTCCATCCTCCATCCTCCATCCTCCATCCTCCATCCTCCATCCTCCATCCTCCATCCTCCATCCTCCATCCTCCATCCTCCTCATCCTCCTCCTCCTCCTCCTCCTCCTCCTCCTCCTCCTCCTCCTCCTCCGACCCTGGGGGGCGGGAGGGGGGGGCGATGCGCTATTCGCGTCGCGGCGCGGCAGAGAGGCAGCCCGCCCGCGCGCTCGGGCAGGCCTGGCGACGGCATTGCGAACTGCCGGCAGCAACCAATGTTGGGTCGGGCATGCCCTTTCTCAAAGGCGGATGCTGGGCGAAGATGAAAATACACCGAAAATACGCAACAATAGTCAAGAGGCAATTGAAGATGATTTTCATCCCCAGGCTATTTTTGACTATCTGTGAAGATTCCTCCTGTAGAGGGACATGCCCGACCTAAAACTGGTGAAAAAGAGGGGGGGAGCGGTCGCGGGAGAGAGGATGCGGAAGGCCAGAGCGCTCACGCGGCGGGGCCCACCGCGGAGCGGCCGGGGCGGCCAAAGGGCGACTCACACGCAGTATCAGTGTTAGGTCGGGCATGTCCTCCTACAGGCAAATTTTGAAAAAAGAAAAAATGAAGATTGGTCGCACACGTAGTATTAGTGTTAGGTCGGGCATGTCCTCTTACAGGCGAATTTTGACACAACAAAACAAAAAATAAAAAATACAGAAAAAAACACTATGATTGGTCCAACAAAATGCGCGAACATGGTCAGATCATCACGAAGCATCGTCACTGTACTAGTTTTGCGCAGTTCTGGAATCTCCCTCCTGAAGAGGGACATGCCCGACGTGATGCAGTGGAGGCCGGTCCACGAGAAGCCCTCCACAAGGAAACCCAACCGTGAGGCCCCAGGACGTCCATTGACTTCTGTTGGCGTGGGAAAGTCACGCTTCCCACAGCAAAACCATCGACACCCAAGAGAAACCAAGGGCACCCTGGAGGCACGCAGGGTGCTCTTTGGCGGGGGCCTCCACTGCACTCGCACGCTGGGGCGAGGCCCCAGCGTACGAGTACGGCGGGGGGACGGCGGAGGGACGAAAGGGAGGACGGCGGGGGGACGAAAGGGAGGACGCCACAATACGAAAGGGAAGACGGCGGGGGGACGAAGGAGGCGAGGAGCGGCAGCGGCAGACGGGGGCGGCTAGACAGCGAGAGCGAGGCGCCGTTCCGTGCACGCCGCGGGCGAGGCGCCGGCGAGCGCCCGTGCCCGCCGGGCGGCGGGGCCCGCGAGGCCGTACGCAGCCTCCTCCCCCTCCTCCTCCTCCTCCTCCTCCTCCTCCTCCTCCTCCTCCTCCTCCTCCTCCTCCTCCTCCTCCTCCTCCTCCTCCTCCTCCTCCTCCTCCTCCTCCTCCTCCTCCTCCTCCCCCTCCCCCTCCCTCCTCCTCCTCCTCCTCCCCTCCTCCCTCCTCCTCCTCCTCCTCCTCCTCCTCCTCCTCCTCCTCCTCCTCCCCTCCCCCTCCTTCCTCCTCCTCCTCCTCCTCCTCCTCCTCCTCCTCCTCCTCCTCCTCCTCCTCCTCCTTTTCCTCCTCCTCCTCCTCCTCCTCCTCCTCCTCCTCCTCCTCCTCCTCCTCCTCCTCCTCCCTTCCTCCCTCCTCCTTCCTCCCTTCCTCCCTTCCTCCCGTCCTCCCTTCCTCCCTTCCTCCCTTCCTCCCTTCCTCCCTTCCTCCCTTCCTCCCTTCCTCCCTTCCTCCCTTCCTTTCTCCCTCCTTTCCTTTCCTCCCTTCCTCCCCTTCCTCCCTCCTCCTCCTCCTCCTCCTCCCTCCTCCCCCTCCTCCCCCTCCTCCCTCCTCCCTCCTCCCTCCTCCCTCCTCCCTCCTCCCTCCTCCTCCTCCCTCCTTTTCTCCTCCCTCCCTCCCTCCCTCCCTCCCGTGCCAGCGGCCAGAAGCACATACCAGACACACTTCCCTCCCTCCCTCCCTCTTTCGCTTCCGCCCACCCCCCTCCCTCCTCCCCCTCCCTCCTTGCTCCCATCCCCAGAGTGCCACCCCCAAATCGTCAGAGTGTCCCCCTCCCCCCCAGGTTTTGACACACAGGGTCACCAGCGGGTGTCGCGAGTCCTGGGGCCACCACCGCTCGACGCATCCTCGAAACAGTACCCCGATCCCAACACCGCGTGGTGAGTTTCTGGGGGTTTGGGGTTCCCAATGGGTGTTGTCACCGCCAGAACCACATGTCAGACACTGCCTCCTGAAACCTCCGAAGGTTTCCTGTGGTATGCCGTGCCGCCTCCTGGGGCTCTCTGGGCGCTTTGAATATTCCAAGGATTTTCTCGTGCCTCCTGGGGGCCTGGGGGCCCTGAGAAGCTGGGGCCTCCAGCGGTCTTCTGGCATATCCTGAAGCCTCCTAGGGCTTCCTGAGGCGCAGCGGGCCCCCCCCGCACTTCCTCTTGGAACGTTCAATGGCCTCCTGGGGGTCCCTTGGATTTCCTGGGATCCCCTGGTGGCTTCCCATATGTTTGCTAGGACCTTGTGGTGCCTGGACCTAGTGGAATATGTGGTTGCCTCCTGCGGCCTCCATGGACACCCCTGTGCCTGCTGAGCCCCGTGGATGATATATGTGTCTGAATTCGTCATTATCCAGCATATATGAAGATCATGATGCACACTGCATGCGCTGTGCCCCGTATGCTACAACGCGTAATGTTCAAATAGCGGTACACATACAATACATGTTTACGAACACCCATAATTCGTGTATATATATATATATATATATATATATTGCACACTACATATATATACATATATGTATATATGTGTATAAACATCATGTCATGTCATAACGTGATATACAGGCTATATAGTAAAGCGTGGATCATGATGCTGTACTAGTGTAAGTATCACAACATGTACGTGTGATCATAAGCGTACAGTTTTCTTTCACGAGTTCTATAAATGAGTACACATACTTATGGCATAGTGCAGATGGTATACCTATATTTAAGTGTGTATATGGGTTATTCCCATCAAATGCCCAAGATGGCCCTAGAAGGCTTCTAGACAACCCAAGAAGCCCTCCAAACCGACTCCAAGAGTGTGCCCAGACGGAGGGGGGGGGGGGCGAACATACATTTCGAGCCCTGAGCCCCGATAGGCTCCGAGGAGGCCCAAGAGGCTCCAGGAAGTCCCCTTTCTGCTTTCGGGAGACTGGTCTCTCTAAAACCCCATCTGAATCGACAGGGAAATCCCTTGCCACTTTCGGGCGGTCTCCCTAAAATCCCATCTGAATTTAAATGGAAATCCTTTCATTTTGGGAAGATGGGTCCCCCTAAAATCAAATCCCGTTTTAGGGGGACCGGTCCCCCTAAAATCCCTTCTCATTTTAGGGAGACCGGTCTCCCTAAAATCAAATCCCGTTTTAGGGGGACCAGTCCCCCTAACATCCTCTCTCATTTTAGGGAGACCGGTCTCCCTAAAATCAAATCCCGTTTTAGGGGGACCGATCCCCCTAAAATTCCCTCTCATTTTAGGGATACCGGTCTCCCTAAAATCAAATTCCGTTTTAGGGGGACCCCCGAAGGCCGACCCCCCCCCTCAAAGACCAAGGCCACCCTTGTCTCACCTCCCTCCTCTGAGGCATGGCCGAACGGGTCGTCCGCGATCCGATGGGGACGTCCGCTGCGTGCCCCTTCGGGTCCAGGAGGAGCCGCAGGGCCAGGAGGATGATGAGGAGGGGGGGGAGGGGAAGGAGGGGGAGGAGGAGGAGGAGGAGGAGGAGGAGGAGAAGGAGGAGGAGGAGGAGGATGATGAGGAGTGGGGCGGAGAAGGGGAGGAGAGAGGAGTGGGGGGATGGGAGGAGGAGAAAGGAGGAAGAGCAGGAGGGAGGATTAGGAGGAGGCGGAGGGCAGAGGGGTAGCGGAGGCGGGAGGAGGATGAAGAGGAGAAGGAGGATGAGGAGGAGGATAATGGTTGGTACTAACGATACGATACGGATACGATACGACTCACCGTTGGGCTGGCGGGCAAACGAAGAAAACAGAGGAGGAGGAGGAGGGGAGGAGGAGGAGGGGGAGGGGATCA